TGAGAAACCATAAAGGCATGTTGCCATAGACGTATAAGCCATTATCATAATAATTGCCATTATCGCAATAGCAATATCCTCTTTAATGGTGTATTAGCTGCAGAGTTAAATTCAAAATGATTTACATCTCAATTTAACTAAACATATACCCACATCGAATGTTTAAGTGCAAAATCAGAGTTTAGTTGGTGACCACGTAGAAGCTTTTGAAATGAGCAAATCTCATCCCCACTAAACATGCCGACTCACTCTCTCAGGAGGTGATAAAGAGCTCATTTTCTCATCACCACACCAGCACTCGGTATCTGTCAGAGCCAACCAGGCCTCATTTAATCAGATTCTCAGTTAGAAAGGAAGAAACTCAAGGTTAGGGCTGTCCAATGCCCCTCGCCAGCTGAAACAGAAGATGAGAGAGCTCTAGCTGTCTATGACAGAAAGCTAAATACTCTATCCTCACTGGAGGCACACAGGCGTCTGCTGTCTTTAATGAAGCGTGCGTACTGCTTTAATCCCACCTGAGAGGAGTTAGGGGCTGGAAAAAATACCTTTTTTTGTGCTGGGTTTCAGTAGGGGGGGTAGATATCCCCACCTTTTTGTTAGATATATAACAGTGAAGTAGAAAAAAAAATAGGTCATGCTTGATACTTGTGTGGAGAGTTTTCTCTCAGAGACAATAACGACAAACAGGTGAAGGTGTTTTTTGTCTTTTATTTATATAGTGCATTATGTACTACAGGGTGCAAGGTGCCATACATGTGGTTTGATATCCAGACTTTGAATTTCATGTTTAGGTTAACCGCTCTGTTAAAGCATCATGGGAGATGGCTTGTGTTACGCTGCAGTCTAGTGTTCAAAGAGATGAACTACACCTGTTTAGACCATAATGTAAATGCAAAGTATGGTGAACGCTTTTGAGTTTGCATGTGTAAACACTCCTCTCATTTTCTTTAGAAAATGTAAAAATCTTCTTAATGTGCTAGATAGAAATTGTATTATTAACGTTATTTATAAATGATTATTCCTAATATTATTTATAATAATTATTACATTAAATTATTATGACTATAATGACATTTAGAACATGCATTGACTTAGTCATTTTATATTAAATGGGTGATTGAAAGTGATTTCAGTCATTATTGTCAGTTCTATATCAAATTAAAATTCAACTTAATGGCAAAGATTAAAATTCCACTTAAAGTTCATCTTAATTTTTAGCATTAATGGTGCTGTTTTCACTTATGTTCATAGCTCTAAAAGTAACAAATCATGTAGACTGGTGCCAATAAGGTCTCTTTGCACCAAATTGCAAGTGAATCCTGGCTGCCAGCTGTGTTTTTAATCCCTCTGTGAACCATAATAACTGGAACATTCACCATCAGCCAGTTGCTTTTAACACGAATAGAGTAACTGTACTCTCAAAATTACCATTAATGCTGAGCAGTTCAGTTAAAAGACTCATTTAAAACATTAATAGCCATTGTACACACTGTATAATTTGTATAATACAATTTTGAATGGCATTTTGAGTAATGAAGTCTTTAATTTACTCCTTTTTGAAAAAGTAATAGCTTATCATCTGTCTTGCATATAAGATATTACATTCACTCATTCACCTCATGAAAAGGCATGAAGAACAAATAAACTGCAAACAGTCTCTCCACTCCATCTTATTTTTCCAGTCTGACAGCAGGCCTCTGACTCACACAGGATCTACGTAATGAATGATCTATGGAGAGCTACCCGCTGCGACTGGTGGAGGAGGGGGAGTGTGAACAGCCTCTAGACTGAACTGAAGTCTATACTTCAGCAAACTTTACCAAGGGCGAGCAATTTTGAGAGTAACGGAACAATGATATTAGCCTCTTGCCCTTTCCAATTTCAAATTCAATTTTGTAACATTTCAGCATTTTTAGATGTATAAACAGTGAGAGATGAGAAGGGGAAAGATACAGAGGAAGAATAGGACTAGAAAATGATACGCAATGGACTCAAAGCAATAGTTCACCCAAAAATGGAAATTCGCTTAAAATGTCCTCACCCTCAGGCCATTCAAGATGAGTAAGTGGAGTTTGTTTCTTTATTGGAACAGATTTGGAGAAATTTAGTATTAGATTACTTGCTCACCAGTGGATCCTTTGCAATAAATGATTGCTGTCAGAATGAGAATCCAAACAGCTGATAAAAACATTACAATAATACACAACATGACATGTAAAGTGAAAAGCTGCGTGTCTGTGAGAAACATCCATCACAAAGGGGTTCGAACATTAAACTGTCACTTCTGGCCAAAATACCAGTCCGTGATCCATAATAACACTTCCTCCAGTACTATTTTGGCTTGTAAACAGTGCTTGATCTGTGCATGTTTCTCTCCTGATTCAAAAGAGATGAGTTTTTCATTGGAGAAAGCAGTATTATGGATAAAGAACACATATTTTTGTCAGAACAATGATGAACTGAAGTTGTGTGGATTATGAGATTTTTATCAAATGTTTATCGAACTCTCATTCTAACGGCACCCATTCACTACACATCATCCATTGGTGAAGAAGTGATGGAATACTAAATTTCTCCAAATCTGTTCCCATGAAGAAACAAACTCATTTACATGCTACACACAATGTCAACAAACTTCATTTTTAAAGAAACAGCAACAGATTGAATGGATTTCCAATTATTAGTCTTCCATTTTATTGTAAAAAATATAAAAAGTCACCAAAAGCAAAGCTTAAACACATACAACAGCAATGTAGCAGTACAAACATTTTTAGAGTACAAATTATGTGCACAAAATCAGCAACAAGCTTGACAGGCATCTAAAATACAGTATTTTCATGTCATGTTTTGGTTCACAGCAATAACAGAGGCTTCAAGATCGCTGACAATATTGTTTGTCATGCAAAACAAATCAGTATCCACATTTATGGAACATCATGTCATTGCTTAGCTAAATAAACTTTTTTGAATATCTTTCATCGTTGACTCACTGTGAAAGCGCTGTAACAGCACAGAACAGAAATACACTGTGTCAACAAGGCACATATATTTCAACTGATTATCACAATATGTAAAATAATGTTTAAAAAAGACATTGTAACAAAGAAGAGAAATGTCTAGGCTACACTAAATAAAATAGGATTGGTCTATGCTTTTTAGTTTAGATGGCACTGTGTGTACTCCGAATCCTCAGAGACAATCAAGAGTGCTAACAACTTCCTGGAACACCTACAGAATAAAGAAGGAAAATACACATTTATGACGAGAAGACAGAAACTGCCATACCTTAATGCATAGACAATTGTTTTTATATTATTAAACAGTAAACTCACTTGTAAGTTTGTGAACAAGTAAGAAAGTGCAATGAAAAGCTTTCGCTCACATTCACTATATCGCCAGCAATGGATCGCTTGACCTGCATAATCAAAAAGAGATTCCCTTAGTAGTAGTTTTAAATATCTGATTACTAGAAAATATGTCCACAGGCAATGCAGACTTGAAATAACCAGGCTACTACTAATTCGATCCATCATATTGTTCAAACAAACTAATGAGGACTACCTTGGACTTTCTGTTGAAATCCACCTGCTGTATTACCAATGCAGAAGCAGCCCTGCTCAAAGCTGATCTGATCATATTTTTCGATGTTGGCTAACAAAGTGCCATTTACAGGCAGGTATAAAGTGCTGCCATTGGGCTCCCAGCTCTCAGAGTAGAACACACCTCTCTGGCCATCAATCAAGACAAAACCACCTAGAAGTAATTCACAGGAGTCAAATGAATTACAATTTTGTCCTAATACAAATGTTATCAATATAGTAAATACTCAAATCCTAACATCTTAATGTTTAACAATGTAGCCATAAACAAGGCAACTGGAACTGCTAAATGACAGACTGATGTTGGTTTAGGTTAATAATTTAAAATACTTCATGCATATTGTATTAGCAATTGTAGAAGATCAAAATTAGATTCACAGCAAGGTATTTACTGCAAACTATTAGTTACACACAAGGAATTTGTTGTAGCTTCTAGTACACAGAAAAAAATTTAAATAATAAAAAATGTTTAAAAAATACAAAAAGAAAATGAATAATAATACAATTATTGACCAAATGGTCTATATTGATACAGTACAGCAAGGATAAGGGACATAAGAATGTGTATAAGGGACAGGATATATTGAATTGTTGTCATTTTTATTATGTTTTTATTAGTACATTTACATTTAATATGATTTAATTATTTTCAAGGACTTTGAGACCTAAATTCAAAATCTGATTTGTATGTAATCCTGCAACCTATTCTACACGTATGTCCTGAACCAAGAGCCATACTTACGTTTCCTCAAGCTCTCTTTGGAGGGAACCCCCTTAGGACCATCCTCTTCGTGGCCATTTACAGAATTCACATCATTTCGTTTACGTTTACTGGGTAACCAGATGGGCGAGGTCTCAGTGAATCCATTAACCCATTTCAGGTGCGTCTGACAAGCGTTACTGGACAGCAGTCCATTGTGCTCCATGATTCAATAATGTGGACTTTTTGTAGGTAAATTACATGCAGCTACAATATTTGTGTTTTTAAAAAGACTTCAGTGCCACAGGATACCAAATAAACGCCAGAATATCTGTGATAATGTCTGTATAAAATAATTAAAATAAATAAAGTTATTAGTTGTGTGGCCTATACACAGCACAGGTAACGTTAGAGGCAATTCACAACAAGCGCGCACCAAAAATCAAAACAATGAGCTGTCACACGAAGTGTTGGTTTTCATATTGCCTGACTAAAATGACACATTTTAAACGTATTTTTTCTAAAATGTACTTTTTAAAACTCGTGGTATATATGCACCTTGATGTATCATAAAATGTTATTAGGAACGCTTTATTTTTAATCATGTATTGATCGTGACAATACCCGACTTAATATCAGGCACCATGTAGTTGGCTAATAGCGGGGGTCCTAGAAGCCGGTCCAGCGTGACGTATTTCCCTTCTCGCATGCATTTTGGATTGAATGTGGCTTGGAGCGATCATTTGAGGCACATATAATCCTTGATTCCATCTTAAACATGTTTAAAATCGAGGGCCTTGGGCCGAAAATGGACCCGGAGGAGATGAAGAAAAAAATGCGCGAGGATGTCATCACGTCTGTTCGCAACTTTTTGATTTATGTTGCGCTTCTGCGAGTCAGTGAGTATCCAGGCGTTTCATGAATGTATGTGCGCGTGTTCTCGTTTTAAAACTGACATTATCTCACTCTGAGTTTTTTTTTTTATTAGTTTCTCGAGGCACAGTGTGACTGTGAGGTGTGTTAATTGATAATCTATTCAGCTTCTTATTTCAGTGGAGTCTCTATGGCTATGAATGATAGAGGTCACCTTTAAAGTACATTATGGTCAAACAGAGCTTATTCAACTCTGTGTCAAACAGAGCAACGTCTCTTAATGTCCATTAAAAAGTTAATTATGGTTAAAATAAGTTGATTTTTGTTTTTCAGCACCTTATGTTTTGAAGAAGCTTGACAGCATATGAAACTTCACTGGATACAGAAACATTCCCTGAGATGAGCATGCAGGACCTGGACGATGCTGCACAGTCACTTACCATGGCAGTTAATGAAGAGATGGTGTAACTTTGTGTCATTTATTTTATTTAATATTTTTTACTGGATGCAGTTGAATGTACTTGGTTTGTTCTCATCTAATCTCAATTGAAAACTATGGCAAACAAGAGATGTCTACCAGAATGTTATCACGATGGTCTATGATCAGTTATTCCCATTGAGTTGTCAAGACTTAAACTTGGATTGGATTTATATCATCTACTTTGCTTTAATGTAAATTTAAAATCCCAGTAGTTTCCATTTATATATTTGGTTTTATTATAAATGTGCTATGAGGGTAAAAACTAAACTTGACATTTTAAGTTTTCAACTAAATCAATGTAATGACAATGACATTAATATCCTGATGTCTTGAAAACGTGGTTCAACTGTTTCCCCAACAAAAGCTGTGTTTCTCCGAGAGATGTCAAATACAGGAGTTTCAATAAATCATTTGTTACAAATTAAATACCTATAACATTGATGCTACTTTAGCTTGGGGTGTATCAGGACATTTCAGTGTTGACTTTGAATGTGCAATATCACAGTAGAACAAATGTGCATGTTTAGCATATCAAATAATATCATCTTATTCCAGTCATGACCAAGATTATCCATGTGAGATGATTGTAATACATGTTTTATCCCTTCTAATCTCATGTAGTTAATGCAGTGCATTTAAATAGTTAGATTTGCGCTACTGACTTCTCCATTCATATAATGACATAATATGGCATCTGCATTACAGTTTCAGCTCACTGGGCATTTCAGAGCCTGTCAGGCCTGCCAGCAAGTTGTTTGCTGTCAGTTCACTCATGACACCACGTGTGGAGTAGGTGGCACTGCCAATATGAGGGAGAACCACTGTAAGACAACATAAGACTGAGTTAGACAAGGTTTTTCTACTAATACATGGCATGAAAATAACAATTGAAGTGGATTTACAAGAGCACTATTGAGATTTAAAAGCTGCTTTTCACTCACCACAGTTTTTAAGGGTCAGCAGTGGGTGGTTGGTAGGCAGAGGTTCAGGGGTTGTAACATCAAGCCCAGCTGCTGCAATCTGACCACTGCTGAGGGCTTCAAACAAGTCCTCTTGATTCACAACCGCCCCTCTAGAGAAAAGAAAACAGTATTTTTTTAGTTTAGCATTGACTTGAGGAGAAATTGTTAACTGCAAAGTAGTAAAAGAAAAATATGTGAAACAATCAAACATGTTCCACTGCCGCTCTGCTTTTCTGCTTTGTCTTTCACCTGCTGGTGTTGATAAAGATTGATGTTTTCTTCATCTTGCTGAAGAAGGTTTTGTCACAAAGGCCTTGAGTGTCAGGAGTCAAAGAACAGGACACCACCACAAAATCACTCTCTCTCACCAGAGTGTCTAAAGGCACTGAATGAAGATTAAAAAAAAAAAATTAAAAAAAAGAGGCCATCATACAATCTTCTTATCCCCTCTAAATAGTTTTATTGCATCTGAATTCATATATAGAATTACATCAGGCAATTTCTTGTCCTTTCTTACCATATTCCCCATCAACCTCTTGGGCCTGAGGTTTGGGTTGTCTGCCTGTGTACAGAAGTCTCTTCACTCCAAAAGGCTTTAGTCGCCTTGCAATAGCCAAACCTACAAATCGTCAATTAAACAAATTTATTTAAGCCTCATTTACACAGTGACCCAATTCAGATTTTTTTTGCTCATATGTCACAGATCGGATGTGTTCTATGACCGTGTAAACAGGGGGAAAAAAATGCATGCATTCAGATATTTCTAGATCGGTTTCAGGCCTCATTCATATGTGGAAATACAGTGGTGTGAAAAAATGGCAAAAACATGGAACAGTGGAGAACCTTCCCAGGAGTGGCCGGCCGACCAAAATTACCCCAAGAGCACAGCGACGACTCATCCAAGAGGTCACAAAAGACCCCACAACAACATCCAAAGAACTGCAGGCCTCACTTGCCTCAGTTAAGGTCAGTGTTCATGACTCCACCATAAGAAAGAGACTGGGCAAAAATGGTCTGCATGGCAGAGTTCCAAGACGAAAACCGCTGCTGAGCAAAAAGAACAAAGGCTCGTCTCAGTTTTGCCAGAAAACATCTTGATGATCCCCAAGACTTTTGGGAAAATACTCTGTGGACTGACGAGACAAAAGTTGAACTTTTTGGAAGGTGTGTGTCCCATTACGTCTGGCGTAAAAGTAACACTGCATTTCAGAAAAAGAACATCATACCAACAGTAAAATATGGTGGTGGTAGTGTGATGGTCTGGGGCTGTTTTGCTGCTTCAGGACCTGGAAGACTTGCTGTGATAAATGGAACCATGAATTCTGCTGTTTACCAAAAAATCCTGAAGGAGAATGTCCGGCCATCTGTTCGTGACCTCAAGCTGAAGCGAACTTGGGTTCTGCAGCAGGACAATGATCCGAAACACACCAGCAAGTCCACCTCTGAATGGCTGAAGAAAAACAAAATGAAGACTTTGGAGTGGCCTAGTCAAAGTCCTGACCTGAATCCTATTGAGATGCTGTGGCATGACCTTAAAAAGGCGGTTCATGCTCGAAAACTCTCCAATGTGGCTGAATTACAACAATTCTGCATAGATGAGTGGACCAAAATTCCTCCACAGCGCTGTAACAGACTCATTGCAAGTTATCGCAAATGCTTGATTGCAGTTGTTGCTGCTAAGGGTGGCCCAACTAGTTATTAGGTTTAGGGGGCAAACACTTTTTTCACACAGGGCCATGTAGTTTTGGGTTTTGTTTTCCCTTAATAATAAAAACCTTCATTTAAAAACTGCATGTTGTGTTTACTTGTGTTATCTTTGACTAATAATTAAATTTGTTTGATGATCTGAAACATTAAAGTGTGACAAACATGCAAAAAAATAAGAAATCAGGAAGGGGGCCAACACTTTTTCACACCACTGTATATCAGATATGTGCCAATGCGACTGTCACGTAAACAGGCAGATCAGATTATCTGAGGCCTTGCGTTCTGTACTTCATAAAAACTGCGACAATTTGGTACTTCTCCGCAGTTTAATGATGTGATATTATTCTCAGGAAGAAGCACGTGTGGAGGCGGTAAATGACAACAACACAGGAAACATGGAGGAGATATGGCAAGTGTAAACACATGATTTGGATATGGGTCTCAATTGAAAGAACGTGTAAACGGACGGTCAAAAAAAAATCAGATATAGGCAACAAATCAAAATTGGGCATCAAGACCTGCAGTGTAAACAAGGCATTAGAGTCAATGTAATTCTCCCTATAATGATTAAGTCTAAAGTATTCACCTTCATTGTTTTAACAACATAAATTGGGCGACATCTTCAATTATCCAGAGAGATCACACTACATATGGTAACAAGCTGCTTATGTGTAAAGTGACTTGTTTTCACTATGATTATCACTGAATTAGTCACTTTATTAAAAGAACAGATGGTGTACATAATAGAGCAGATGCATAGGTAGCTTATTTTAAGGTAGAGAGAGAAAAAATGAATAATTCATACTGTACCTATGCGGCCCAAACCAATCACCCCAACAGTACTGCCTGAAAGACCGTAACCACACAGCCACAGAGGCTTCCATGTACTCCAGCCGCCACTGGGAGATGGGAAATATGCCCAAAAAAACTGGGATATTACAGTGGTACTGACTCTGTTTTTAAAGATAATACTTATTAAACATTAAAGGGATAGTCCACCCAAAAATGAAAATTCTGTCATAACTTACTCACCCTCGTGTCTTTTTTTTCATCACAAAAGGATCACAAAAGAAGATATTTCAAGTAACATGATTGGTAACCAACCAGTTTCAGTTTCCATTGGCTGACATTATGTTTTGTCCAAACAATGAAAGTCAAGGGAACCAAAACTGTTTAGCTGCCAACATACTTCTGAATATCTTCTTCTGTGTTCCTCAGGAGAAAGTGTATAAATGAATACAACATTTTCCATTTTTGGATGGACTATCCCTTTAAGACTACTGAACATTTGGAACTGTGCAAAGCTGTGATATATGACGTAATATATTAGAAAAGGTGTTGGACTGACTTTTTCACTTCCTCTACACCCTCGGGAAGACGTCGGGCAGTGGCCAAGAGCAGAGCCACCGTCAGCTCAGCAGTAGTATCCGTCAAAACATCAGGAGTGTAGCCTACTCGTATCCCTCTGGGGCGAAGAAAGATAGTACATGTGTTTAAATTGTATAAACGTCCTTACTGTGATCCATCATCATCGATCCACTGTCCATTTTCTCACTTTCTGGGGTCAAATCTAATGGCTTACAGAAACACAAACTTACCGTTTCTTTATCTCATCTATGGCAAGATGGTCAAATCCCACAGAGAAAGTGCTGATCACTTTCAAGTTGGGTCCTGAGAATATTTAATGTGTGTTATCAGTATTACTAAATCAGTATCTTCACCTGCAGTTGTTCTAAAGTGGAACAAGAGGTTTGCCTTACCAGCCGCATCCAAAACTTCAGCATCAATTTTGTCTGAGAGTAAACAGAGAAGCCCATGAGCACCTGCCACCCCCTTCAGGAGCTCTGCCCGGGGCACAGGCTCATCAGAGTCCCACACTGACAAATTACACCTGCACATAATGGATAACAGAGGCATTTAAATGAACAAAAACTGCTCCTAAAATTTGTGCAAGTGGTTTCCAATCATTTAATCGTTTTTATTCTGCTACATTTGTTGTAAGGCTCGTGTCCTAACAGTGTGACATTCACAATTAGACTGTAAGCATGCTACAAGGTCACTGGTGAAACTTTAAATGCAGGAGTGAAGCCAAACTTTATCTTCCTCCAAAGTTCCTTGAGGTTCACACACACATGCTGTTAATGAACACCGTGGCCACCCTAGTTTTGACACGAGCTACTTCATCTCATTAACACTCCAGGGAAAGCATCAAGGCATTTTATATACGTTAAATTCACATATAATGCATGCATACAAGATCAAATAAAGTTTCGTACATCCCGGCTTTTTGGAGTATTTTCATGCCCTCCTGCGGAATGCGTCTCGTGACGAACACTTTCAGCATCTGCTGCGCGCTCATCCTGCACAATTAACGTTAAAGGCCAAATGGATATGTTCACTACGAAAATGATAACAACAGAAATCCACAGACGCTTCCCTATTTACATGTGCTGGGCTGCACTAAAAAAGTACGTGACAGGCAGGGTTGCCAGGTCAAGGTTGCCAGGGTTGCAACAACAAAACCCGCCCAATTGCTATTCAAACCTAGCCCAAAACTAGACCAATCGCATTTCGAGGGGGGGGCTCCCCGTTAAAAATCGCGTTCCGGTGGGTAAAATACACGTTTTTGGCGGGGTTCCCCTGGTAAAATTCGCACTCCAGGGGATAAAAATCACGTTATCGGGGTCGCTATAACCCGCGGACATGAAAAACAACCCGCGGCAACAGTGATAAAGTACCCCAATTCCGCGGGAAAACCGCGGACTTGGCAACACGCTGGCAAAAAAAAGTGTCTCTTTTTTCCAAGAGTTCTCCTTTTTTGCAGGCTTTCGCGCCATCTAGTGGAGCGGATGGACAGCGCAACTGCGTTAGCGAACTTTTTCTGAGGGCGTTTCAGACTAAGCTGACTGTTATTGGGATTGAAAATGTACTGTAAATTACGACAGGTACGTTCAAACTTATGTTTTAAAAATCCCTAATGTGTTTTGTTTGTTTTATTTAAAATGTATTTTATACAGGGTTTACTTAGCGTTTTATTTAACGTTAGCTGCATTTGCGTTTGTCAGCTACTGAATTGACTATATGTCGCTCGTATGATTGTTTTAACTTTATTTAACTGCAGGTTTTGAGGTGTTTATTGGCTTTAGTTCATCGGGAGTGTGGTGAGTGTAAACGGTCAGGAGGTCTGATGGTTGTCATGAGAGCGCTATCTGAATCTCCCGCAATTTTAACCGGTAAAACACGAACGAACTAAACTAATGCTGATTTACTTGTCACTTTTTAATTCTGTAAGATTGATAAATGACTGACTTAATGCTTTGTGCATATTTCATTCATCTTGTCAAATGTCATTTACAGTATCTGCTGCTGGTGCTTGGTGTAAGAAAATGTCTAAATCTGCTTTGAAAGGTGAGTGTGTACTAGCCTAATAAAAACTATTGATTGTAATTTTAAATATGTTCAGATTTACGTTGTTTCTTCTGTTTTTATTTTTCAGAGGCTATAGACGGTCTTTCTTTAGAGGTCCCACCTTGTGAGTGTGTTCATCAGGAAGAGCTTCAGAGGTTTACTGACAATTTTGGGTCTTTGTTTTTTACCTATTCTTTCCATGTGAGTGCCTCCTCACTGAATAATCTACCAGGAAATTTGTGTTTGACAAAATTCAGTTCTGTTTTATTCAGATATTGTGCTTATATATTTAGTATGTTTTCACATATTTTGTACAATTTGTTTTATCTTCATTCCTTAAAGGTCATTTGTGTTTAATTCTGATATTGTGATTATATATTTTGTATGTTTTCACATATTAATTATAAATAGTTTATTTTAATTTCTAAAAGGTTGAAAAGGCTACTAGTCAGTCAGTGGAGGCTGAACTGTCAAAGATCCAAAAATGTCTGCACAGACTCAGTCTGGTTCATGCGCAGGTGAGGCCAGTGCGGTACATTCAAACTATTGTAACAACACTGATAATTTCCTGCAATTACATTGAAATAAACCAAAACATTTACCCTTAAGGTGATTTATGTTAATGTGTATATTTGCAATAAAACTGTTGCGTATTTAGAATTTTTAATTAACTGTGAGTGAAGGTATTATTCTCTCTCCTCAAGTGAAGGTCTGGTTCTGCCTTTTTATCTATTACAGGTGAAAATCATATCTGAGATTAGGACAGGTTCAACAACACGCAAGCAAATGTTCAGGTTGTCTAAATAAACATGTATTCAAAAGTTTTGGGAAATTAATACTTCTATTCAGAAAGAATTCCTTAATTTGTAAGGACATTTATAAAACTACAAAAGATTGCTATTTCAAATAAATACTGTTCCTTTAGACGTTCTGTTCATCAAAGAATCCTGAAAAAAAATGTATCGTGGTTTCCACAAAAATATTAAGCAGCACAACTGTTTTCAACACTGATAACAGTAAGAAATGGCTATTGAGCACCAAATCAGCACATTAGAATGATTTCATGTGACACTGCAGGAATTACTTATTTTAAAATTATATTTGAAAATATATTGTCCAAAATATTATAATAATATTTAGCAATATTACCATTTTTACTGTATTTTTTATCAAATAAATGCAGACTTTATGAGCATAAGAGACTTCTTTCAAAAGCATCTAAAATCTTACTGACTCAAAACTTTTGAACGGTAGTGTAGATGATAATAATAAAAAAGTCAAAGCATGTTTTTATGCTTTTGATGCTCTTATTCTTCTCTGCAAGTAATGATGTGTTACAGGTCTACTAATTAAGCCCACTCTTCTTTATTTTTAAAAATGTTTTGGGTGTAATTGTCCTTATTTGCTCTTTTATAGTGGAGGAGAGAAAGGAAGTAAAGTTTCAGCGATGGATCATAGCATTACTATGGACACTGCCGCATACGGACAGTCAGTTCCTGCAATTTTTTATTAAATAGAACAACTTACTAGCAAGCAGAATGAACACCTCAGACTGGTCATTGAGTTTTAACGTCTTAAAAATCTCTACTTGCATTTTGTTTGTCCTTGCACATTTTATTTCTATTTTATTTTGAAGGAGTCCGTTCTCTGTACGGTGTCTCCCGTCCTGTCCACAAATGCACCCAGTATTGGGAAACACACTGAGCTGTGTGCTTCCCACTGACATCATAGAGGCTGGACTGTGTGGGGAAATGAGCATGGCTACCATGGCAACACTTGCTCCCTGTATGAATCTGTATTCCAATTGGCCCACTCGTCTCTCATGCATACGGATATCCTTTGTAATGTGCACATAAATATTGTTATTAAAATTTAAGAGTGTGCATATGATTTTAGGCTGCCTGTCTTTTTTTTTTTTTTTGGTAAAATGTATTCTTATTCATATTTATGAACAAAAAAGATATGTTCTCCTTAACATTCATTGCACATGTTAGTGTACAGTCCATGCGGCATGCCTTTAATGCAACAAACACAGACGAGTTTCCTCCAGAGTTTGGCTACTTCACTTTCCTGGGCAGATCTCGGCCTTTCTAGAGTCTGTTGTATGGAAGCACAAAACATCCAGGGTAAATTACAGGCCTAAATGGGGAGAAATTGGGGATACTGAGGGCAAATTCCCTCACTGTGTTATACTTTTATGGATGGAAGCCTCGCTGCAAAGCATAAAGTATAGAGCTACAAATCACTGTTGGCTTTGAGGCTAGAGTTGTTCAGACAGTTTTCCAGCATGTCTATATATTATTTAATTCTGGCTTTTCTCTTTATAGAATCTCTGTGTTCTGATGTAGAATTCTCTGTTGAGACTGACTGCAGCCAGGAAACAAGATGTAGTAGTGCTGTACAGCAGGACATTGAGTCAGAATGGAGCCATGCTGTAGAACAGACTCTGACTGTCTTCGTTTTCACTCAATACACTGACCCCTTCCACTCCCAGATCTCCGACTTCATAGGTGAGTCACGTTTGCTTTTCATATCATATAGACATCTTGAGATGGGTCATAATATTTTGACATTCTGCTTTTAAATGTTTCAGGCAGTGAAGAGGTTTTAGGGAGACACTTGGATGCAATTCTTTGGTACAACGGAGATCAAGTGAGGGCGACGCTGCACACTACCATGAAAAACACGCTGAAAGGATTTCAGCAAAAACATGCTGTAAGATTCATCTGTTAACGTTCTTTTTAAATGTAAAAAATTTTGGCTACTTTCATTCATTCATTTAATTAGCATTCAAAAGTTTAGGAGTCAGTAAGATTAAAGAGTGTTACAAAAGATTTCTATTTCAAATAAATGGTGATCTTTTGACTTTTATATTCATCAAAAGAAATCTGCAAAAAGAATATATATATATATTGTTTCAGTTTTGAAAATAATAAAAATGGGTCTTGAGCACCAAATCAGCATATTAGAATGATTACTGAAGGATCATGTGACACTGATGTGAAAATTCGGTTTTGCCACCACAGGTATAAATTACATTAAAAAAATTAGTCAAAAATATTAAAATAGAAAAGAGTTATTTTACATTATAATAAAAGGTAACAAACTTACTGTTTTTACTGTTGTTTATCAAATAAAGGCAGCCTTGGTGAACATAAGAGACGTCTTTCAAAAACTTACAGACCCCAAACTTTTGAACACATATACATGGAACAATAGTGACAGTATAGCCATTAGTCATTTTTTAAAGACCACTGAACCATACATCTTTTCTGTGTGTACTTCAGGCCAGGCAGAGGTTAGGTTCTGCCATACCCATTGTGTTGAGCTCAATGAACAGTATAATTGCCAGCAGCAGCAGTGGAGAGTTTCGAAGAGCGTGTTTTGAGAGCATGAAGGTATATCATATGGCTATAATTTATACTGGTACCCAAAACACCCTATTTTATGTGTCATTTCACTTCTTATTCTTAAGAACAGTGCTTGCTAACTTGTGAAAGTTGTATAAAATGTTTTAAAACTGGGTTTGTTTTAGGTCAAGAGCACCAGCGAGTTACATGCCTCACTAAAGCAGTCTCTTCAAAGCATCGTGGATGGGCGCTTTACTCCAAGGCATAGGTGTAATAAGGAAAAGGTGCTTTTGCAAAGCTTCTTTTAGATTATTTCATTTCTGCTTTCATGATTTTGCCTTTGAACGTTTGTGATTTTAATGTCCTCACAAGGTGGTGGAGGCTGTTAGCACTGAACAGAGTAGTCTTGACATTCTTGACTGGGAGGAAGGTACGGTTTTAAATGAGTTTAATAGTCTTCATACAATAATACTTCCTAGAAATGATCTGATACTGGGAATTTTGTCATTATAATTGTTCTCATTTCATGTCATTTGGGGGGTTATTGACTTTGAAATCATTAATAGAGTTGGCTGAGATTGTTATATTTTGAAATGTCCACCAGAACTGTCTTCTAAGAGGATTCACTCTGAACTTCAATACTCAAGCTTTACCCCTACGAAGAGACAACGTTCAGAGATGATCTCTGAGAATTCAGACACCTTCATGAACAATGTCTTTGAGGCAGCAAACATCCAGAAAAATTCCCTGTCCCCAATACAGCTTCCTCAAAGTCAGCAAACCAGAATGATCGCAGACAAACCCTCAGTGCTGAGCCTGACTAACCTGAAAAATGAACAGGTGGATAATTCTAAAGTTATTGGAAATACTGTATGCCACTTGTTCAAAGCGATACGTAGTCACAAAAAGATGTCTATACAGTACAATGCATATCCTAACTGTTTTGTTATCTCTCTTTGTGAAGGTGGAGAAGCAGTGGCTTCAAGAGCTTGAAAACTTTTCTGAATGGGACTGAGGAAAATACAAATAAAAATAGATTATCTTTTCTGTTGTTGTTTTGCTCATGTCTTCAAGACATCTTTCTATGTCTTTGTATATTCAAATACTACTTTGTACTACAATTCAAAATTGAATTTTTATATTCTGTTACACCAAATACACCAAATAATGATCTTTAAAAAAGCATCATATGACCCCTTTAAAGATATGTAGTTTTATAGATATCTTAACAGCACTGCTCCAGTTCCAATCATTATGCGCTCCACACTCCTATCCAGTAGGTGGCGGGAATGCACCATTTAAGTTGGTTTGCCAACCGCCATTAACACCAGAAGAAGAAGAAGCACTGCTCCAGTGACAGGCTCCTCCACTGTTAGACCTCTTTGCGAGACTGCAGGCGCAATTTCAAAACTAACGCTCTATCGTTCAATGACTCACGATCTCGCGAGCTCTCCGTCTTCACTGCTTTCGGTGTTGGTACTGTTTGTTATGGACTGTGTTGAGTTAGCCGCCCACCACTAGTAAATAATGGACTGAGCTATATGAAGGTAAATAATACCAAACGGAGTGTCTATTATTTCAGCTTCAGTGTGTAATATGTCTATAATTACCTCAGCAACTGTAGCACTTGCTAAAATGTAGCTGTCATGCTAAGCTAACTGAAAGGCACCGGCTGCAGTCAGGTTCAGTTAGCAGTGTGTGTTGTTGTCAGAGCGGCAGTCTTCACTTAATCTGATAGAAATTAAAGCAGTCGGACGTTCAGACATCTGCTGCTTGGCTCAGGGACGCGTTAACGGGATATCTAGCCGGGTACTGATATCATTTAGTGGTAATTCTAAACTTATGCTGATCTAAAAAATCATGCAAGTGTTTATACTAGCTTTAAATGTTTCCGAATTTTGACTTTTACTGAATTGGAAAGGTTTTATGTAACTATGGAAAAGTTCTCTTGGAACTCACTGTCACATTTAGCTAATTAGCTGACGTAGTGTTCAAGATGTGAGATAGATAAGATGGGAGGATAGATAGATAGGCAGATAGATAGAACTGTCACTATGATTGTGGGCAACATTTATTTATACAGGTTCTATTAAAATCCTGTGTAATGTGTTCAGTTTTGTGCATAGAGATTTCATGTGGATGGTCATATGATCAATCACGTTGCTCTAATAGGCTTAATCTGATGTTTGTAGACCAGTCCACACTCCCCTTTTTTACTATATATGCTTCATTGTCAGATTATCACATACATCCAGAGATTTGTATTTACTAACATAACGTAATGTCAATGTCCAGCAGGATTCAGTGTGTGTCTCCTGGACTTGCCACAGAGAGGATGTTCCCCTGCCTGGCCCACAGACCATGGCAAGTCCTCTGCCGGGTCTACCTGCAACAACGAGCCCCTTTATCTCAGAGACCCTCTAAAATAGCAACGCCATGTTTCGGTAAGAGCATCACACAGTGTCATTTGCATGTTTTGTCAATATAAGGACTGAGAGAGGATGTTGTTTTAATTCTGTTTCTTATCTTGTTATTCAACGTTGACAGTTTTAATAATTCTAGACTAGATCCGGAAATCATTCCCATTATGCAACATTTGATATACTCAATAGGTTGGAAAAGTGGAGGAGGGGTGCACAAACTCTGGTTTAGCTTTCCAGATTCCAGAGTCACGTCTTTAATGTGGACACAGGTCCAGTACTGTTCCACATCAGGCAGTGATAAAACTGGATCTCCAGCGGGTCCTGTAGAGCCAAAGCCCACTGAGAAAGAACAAGCTGCACAGTCCTCTGCAAAAACAGCTGGTAATGATTCTGCATTATTTTGTATTTGTTCACAGGCTTTTAAATTACGTCAAAGTGTGCTCATTTCTATAAACAATTAGTTTTTTTAGGTTTTTGTGAGTAAATATAAATAAATAGTGTCTTATATATTATATATTTATAATGTATGTATGGTAATTATGATTTATTCTAAATGTTACTGGGTTTTAATCAGTTAGTTTTTGGGTTTTTTTGCATTTCAGGTTCCAAAACTCAAGGTCTGACAAAAGCAGAGAGCATTCAAGTGAAAGGTTGCGCAGCCTTGTTTTACGCACAGACACTTTCCTTTCGGACCAATCAGAATGATCACAATTCTATGTATTTTAACTATCTTGCATGTTTCTTGTGTTTTCAGTACGGGCTGTCCTGAAAAAAAGGGAATATGGCACCAAATACACCCAGAATAATTTCATTACCGCAGTTAGAGCTATGAACGAGTTCTGCCTCAAACCCAGGTACATTTAGGAAGTGGAGCGTTGTAGTTTACTTTGTTGTAACCCAGTAAACTACCATGTTCACATGTGAATCTATGCATTTTTGTGTGTTCAAAGTGACCTTGAGCAGCTTAGAAAAATCCGTCGACGTAGTCCCCATGACGACACAGAAGCCTTCACTGTCTTCCTGCGATCAGATGTGGAGGCAAAGTATATACAACTGTTACACTACCATATTTATATACTACCATTCAAAAGTTTGGGTCAGTAAGATACAGTTTCATTTACACTTACAGTTATTACTAAGAATTAAAGGACAAAAATGCTGACATTTTCCACAAAAATATTAAGCAAGAAATATTTTGCTGTATTTTTTATCAAATAATAGCAGCCTTGATCGAACATAAACAGTATACAATCTTACTGACCCCAACCTTTTAAACTGTAGTGTACTATTTGGCATCAGGTACAAGGATCTGAAATTATGAGTAGAGAGATCAATTAGCTTGTTTCGGTGTCTTTATTTAGAGCGCTGGATGTATGGGGAAGTCAAGAGGCACTTGCTAGAGAGAGGAATCTCAGGAAAGATGTGGAAAGGGAGTACCAAGAAAGTATGTCATTTTCCCCTCATTTACTGCATGATCTGCATTCTAATGTTTTCATGTCATCTACTGTCTAAATAACCATTAGTCTTTCTCTTTCTCACCCATAAGACATATTTAGAAATCAGAAGCTGTTGAAGGAGTACAAAGACTTCTGGGGGAACACAAAGGTAAAAACAAGTTCAAGCCTGTCACTATGATTTTTCTGTTTTGGTATAATAATGCCTGGGTGTAGCCAGTCCTCATGATTCATGATATTCCTCAGCTTCTGTCTCTTTCTTGACATTTTTTCATATTCGTATTTTCATGCTGCTCCTAATTTAACCTCAAAGCAGAGCATATCGATGAGTACAATGCATTTTTAGCTAACTGTTTTTTATCATTTTTGACTCTATAGCCTCGGTCTAGGAAGAGAGCGACATTTCTACAAGGACCGGGAAAAGTGGTGATGGTGGCTATATGCATGTAAGTTTTACCAACCTCATGCTATCTAGCTATTAGATTAAGGATATTGAGTTAAAAGACACGTGCTTCCACATGAGGTATGACCCACACTGACTGTTAGCCTTAAAACAACCAGATCTTTGTCTAGTACATTATACAACAAGCCAAATTATGTAATTATGTGTTGCTTGAGGAATCAGTTACATTAAGACAAGTTTAATTTTTTTTCCGTGAACATTGTACTATTTTTTTTTCCAAAGAAGTCTCTTATGCTTAACAAGGCTACATTAATTTGATAAAAAACAGTGAAATAATTGTGAATAATATTGTGAAATACTATTACAACTTAAAATAACTGTTTTCTATTGTAATATATTTTAACATGTAATTTATTCCTATGATGGCAAAGCAGAATTTTTAGCATCCGTTACTTCAGTCTTAAGTGTCACATGTTCCTTCAGAAATCATACTAATATGCTGGTTTTCTGCTTAAGAAATATCTTATTATCAATACTGAAAACAGTTGTGCTGCTTAACATTTTCTTAGTATTTACTATGATACACTTTTTTCAGGTTTCTTTGACATTTTTTGAAATACAAGATTTTTTACTGTCACTTTTGATCAATTTCATGCAACATTGCTAAATAAAAGTATTACTGTTTTAAACATCAGTGTATTTGTGTATCAAGTGGAGATATAAATGTCTAATTTCATTTTTTTTTAACTGCAGAAATGGACTGAATTTTTTCTTCAAGCTGTTAGCGTGGGTTTATACAGGATCTGCCAGTATGTTTTCTGAAGCCATCCACTCACTGGCTGATACCTGCAATCAGGTAATTTGCCATTCATGTCTGTATTACCACCTTTGACCTCCAGGATATACCTACAACAGATGGTGTATGATTTAAAAATAAATTACATAGACGTATATACTTGTTCATTTTTTCAATTCCTCTCTTATACTTTCACTTCGACAGGCTCTTCTTGTAATAGGCATCAGCCAGTCTGTCCGGAACCCAGATGCCGTCCATCCGTACGTACAGCTTATACAGACTGATGTTGTCCTCTGGTCATGTGGTCATGTCTAAGCCAACTGTTCTCTGTTATTACAGGTATGGCTTCTCCAACATGCGTTACATCGCCTCTCTCATCAGCGGAGTCGGCATCTTCATGATGGGTGCTGGCTTGTCCTGGTATCACGGCATTATGGGACTCCTGCACCCTCAGCCAATAGAATCACTGCTCTGGGTTAGTAGCATTGGGTTAGAACTTGTAGATGTACAAAATTATATGAAGTCTGTGATGTGACATTACCTTTCGAAAGTTTGGTGTTTGTAAGATTTTTAAGACTGCATTTATTTAATCAAAGATACAGTAAAAAAAAATCTTAATATTGTGAAACATTACAATTTTATACTACTGTTTCTATTTGAATGTATTTTAATATGTAATTTAATCCTGTGATTGCAAAGTTGAATTTTCAGCAACCTTTACTCCAGTCTTCAGTGACACATGATCCTTCACAAGTCATTTTAATATGCTGTTTTGTGGCTTAATAAACACCTTATTATCATTGTTGAAAACAGCTGTTCTGGTTAATATTTTTATGGAAAATGTTAAATTTTTTTAGGATTCTTTGATAAATAGGAATTTAAAAATAGCAGCATTTAGGCTGCGTTTACACTTGGCATTAACATGCGACCTGTATCCAGATGTTGTCCACACACGCTTCTGATCGGAATGTTATCCGATCAGCGTGTCCTGGTCCAGAGGTTGGCTGCGTTTACACTTGGCATTAACATGCGATCACCGTGATCTGAACAAGCAGATCGGATCATCAGTCAATCAGGACCAGTCTATGATCAGGACACGGCGCGTTTACACTTGGCAACATCAGCTGACTTCTCGATCTGGATAACCGATCGGATCTGTATTTCCCGCGCAATATTTAAATAAGTCTGCGGTGCAAAGTCGACCTGAAGTGGTGGGTTTTCTTTTGAAAACTATTTTCAGTCGCGGGACATTTTTACAAATCAAAATAAATGTAGCCTACGAGTCTCACTAGTGCTCTGTTCTTCCGACAGATCGGGAGAGAGGGGGGCGGCGTTTTGCGTGATGTCGACCTACGGCTGCAGACACGATGGCTGGATTGCGTTTACATTACCCTGTATCCGGATGTTGTCCACATACACATTGAAAAGACAAGTGTAAACGCGCTTCTGATCGGAATGTTATCCGATCAGCGTGTCCTGGTCCAGAGGTAGTCGAGGACGCATTGTGATCGGATCTCAGTGTAATGTAAACGCAATCCAGCCATCGTGTCTGCATTCGCAGGTCGACATCACGCAAAACGCCGCCCCCTCTCTCGCGAACTGTCAGAAAAAAAGACGGAGAACACCCGTGTGGAGACTAGTTGAGACTCCTACACTTATCTTTGATTTGTAAAACTTCAGGTTGACTTTGCACCGGGCCATTCTCTGCAAACTTATTTAAATATTGCACGTGAAAGACAGATCCGGTCGGTTATCCAGATAGAAAAGTCAGTTGATGTTGCCAAGTGTAAACGCGCCGTGTCCTGATCATAGACTGGTCCTGATTGACTGATGATCCGATCTGCTTGATCGGATCACGGTGATCGCATGTTAATGCCAAGTGTAAACGCAGCCTTATTTGAAGTAGAAATCTTTGTTGTATTATAAATGCCTTTAGTGTACTGAATAAAAGTGGATTTTAAAAAATCTTACAGACCTCAAAATTTGAACAATAGTGAATATAGCTCTTTTTTTTTATTATTGTCTTTTGCAGGCTTATTGTATTTTAGCAGGATCTCTGGTATCTGAAGGAGGTGAGACGTGGTTTCCTCTTCCATAGTTTCATTAATATTCAGAAAGGTCTGACAGTATCACTATTTTAATATCATCTGTCTGCTGATTCCCCATAAAGCTACACTATTGGTGGCCATTAACGAGATCAAGAAGAGTGCACGTGAACAAGGCTTGTCCTTTTATGAGTACGGTATGTACCTTCGGTTAAAGCTGCAGTCCGTAACTTTTGGCGCTCTAGCGGTTAATAAACACATGCGTGCGTCTTGCGGAAGAACATTGTAGCCGGAGCTACTTGTCTCTGTTTATGTCTAGGACGAATCACGCAGGTACTGGGCTACTCCGCAGCGGTACCTACCCGAACCAGTCTAAAATAATCCGCATATAAACACGTATTATAGGTGTACCGTAGTGATTCAGGACAAGCCAAAAACACGGTTTGGAAAATGGATTCATGGTGTACTCGATTATTTTGTAAATTTTGAACACAAAAAAATTACGGACTGCAGCTTTAATTCTTCTATTAGCCTTGTATGTTATTTGATTGTGATTATAGTTTTGACACAGTTTGGAGATGATCAGTTTGATAATCCTTGTTTGTTTGTGTATGACAGTGATGCAAAGTCGAGACCCCAGCACTAACGTGGTCCTGTTGGAGGACGCTGCTGCTGTGCTCGGGGTGGTGCTGGCAGCTGGATGTATGGGACTAACGTCTCTCACAGGTATTTCAAATAAACACAAGAATAGTGCCTGCCCCTCCTGTTTCATGCTAATCGTGGTCTCTACCACAGGGTCAGGTTTAATAAGCACATGGGCCCGAGCTTTATCCCCTTTATAAAGAGCAGTTGATGTTCTTTTTAAGCTTTGTATATCCAGCTCTAAATGCACTTCTGTGCACACACAAAGTCAACACCTACGGCTGCCCAGAAGCTTGGTCCTCTTGCCCTGTGGTTTTCATGGCTTTGTGGAAAATTTGTGTAGAGATCTGGATAATGCTCTATTCAGTAAACCTGCTTTCATGCTTGAGAACAGCCCTGATGGCAGTTTCAGCTCAGTTTATTATCTGGCGCTTACTACAGTTGTATGTTATTGAAGTGTAATCAACCATGAAACTAACAGCAATGTTATTTTACATAGCAGGGCTTTAAAAGAAGGAAATAGCACTTTTGTTTGTACCACTAGAGGTCTCTATTGTGGCATTAAAGACTGCTGTATACCAATTCACGTACACTATAATTCATAAGATTGCAATCAGTAACAGGGCTCAACAGTGCGACCATTTCAGTCGCATTTGCGACTGAAAACTACTGAACTAAGAAAAGTAAAACCAAACTTTGTGGCAATAATTAAGACCAAACAGGGCTCTACAGTGCGACTGAAAACTACTGCATGCGACTATGAAAATTTTTTTAGGAGCACCAGTGCGACTGACCCGATCATCATCATACTTGTGATTGCGCTCGGGAGCTTCAAAGGTTTCTACGTGTTTTTGCAGCGTTGAGTAATGTATCACAGACATATCTCACGGATCCTTTCATAAGCAAAGTGTAGACAGGGTGTAAATAAGAGATTCATTGTGCAGTGTAGAGAGCTTCGTTGATTATAGATGTGAGATCGAGACAGGGACGCGGGAAGTAGGGGTGCTGAGGGGGTTGCAGCACCCCCTGTTTTCACATGGTTGCAAATGCAACGCCAAGTTTGTTCATTTAAATTTATTCAGTTTTAGCATTTAATAATTTATTTGTAATGATCTCTGAAATGTAAATTGTGCTGGCAGTTTTAGTTTCATTTTTAAAGTATCTTTTCAGTTATTTAAATCATTTAATATTTCTATATTCAAAATTTTATATTTAAAACATTAATATCATCATGAATTTATGGATTTAATTGCACTCATTCCACTTCTGAACCTCATTAAATGTCTGAAAGTACATCAAGCCACTTTTGTGTTCTTCTGTGCCACCTCTACAAATTAATTTTGTTAATACTGATTTCATTTGATTTTTAACTTATGTTTCTTATTCTACTCTTATTCTGTCGTTTTAATTACAATTTTTAAACACAAGTGCTCCTAAAAAGAAAAGTAAGCGTCGAGCCCTGAGTAAGGTTTTTTCTTTTGAAATAAGAGTCTTATTGATATTTATTTGATAAAAAAAAATTTTTAAGTAAAAACAGTACAATTGTAAAATATTATTACAGTTTAAAAGAACTGTTTTCTATTATAATACATTTTAAAATTTAATTTATTGCTGTGATGGCAAAGCTGAATTTTCAGCAGTCATTACTCTAGTATTCAGTGTGACATGATCCTTCAGAAATCATTCTAATATGCTGATTTGATACTCAAGAAACAATTTGTATTGTGGAGTGCATTAGTACCCGCCAACTTTTTCAGTATTTTTCCATAGAGATTTTGTTAAAGTGTCTTTGTTAAAGTGTTATTCAATTCAGTTCAATTCAAGTTTATTTGTATTGCGCTTTTCACGATACAAATCGTTACAAAGCAACTTTACAGCAAATTAAGTTTCTACAATATTTAGTGGTAGCTAGCTTATCAGTGGTGACTGTATTAAAGATGTAATCAAACAGATGATGAACACTATTAACAGCAATTATTAATTGATGCAATCAAACTTATAGCAAAATGTGGTAGTTCTGTATGTTGTTTTAGGGTTGGCATCATCTTCCTTCCTCTGAGGGGTTGGCATCATCTCTTCTCAGGTGTTCTGGATCCAGACTGAAGCTTGTGTAAATCCTAGTTACAGAAACAGAGAAACAAATAGAGACATAATTAGCGTAGCTGCTGTTCCAACCAAGCAAAATTTATTTGTTTATAAGCTGTGAATCAAGGCAACCAGCTATGATGTGAATCAAAACATTACAAACTTGTAGTTCAAGCAAAAAAAAAGACAAGAAAAGGTACAAGACTTAACTTAACTACTTAACTTTAACGGGGCAAACAATAACAGTCCCATGAAGCATTGCGAATGACATAAATGAAAAATAATGATGAAATATAGAACTAATTTATTTAGAAACAATTGTTTAGAAACAATTTATTTTGAATTTATTACAAATTTTATAAATATAAAATTCTTGAATTTTATGCTGCACAAAAAAATGCCCTCCAGGCTTATAATAAACTTTGAACCTTGAGATATATATATATATATATATATATATGAATATTTAAGTATTTTGAGAAGGCATTTTGAGAAGATAATATGAAGACAATTATTTCATTCATATTGCGAATTAATATATGAAAATTTGTGTGGGAATTTTAGCATATAGCTAAATGGATTACTTCAGAATTCATTGTTAACCTTTATGTGCATAAATGTAAAAATGTGACATTTAGTTGCCATTTAGATACTGCTAATATTACACACACAGCTCGTTGCACCTTTTTTATAACTCAGTGGGTCGTGGGTAACCTTATTCATGGTAGATGCTATATTCATTTGTCAGAATGTCATCCGGCACCATTGATGTGGGTTGCACTCACATATTATGTACTGTACATGACATTTAATGCATTTAATGCCTCTCTCTTTCTCCCCCTTCATAGGTAACCCCTACTATGACAGTCTGGGTTCTCTGGGTGTGGGCACCCTGTTAGGAACAGTATCTGCATTCCTCATCTACACTAACACAGAGGCTCTGCTGGGTCGCTCCATCCAGGCCGAGCATGTGCAGAAGCTCACAGAGTTTCTGGAAAATGACCCTGCTGTCAGGTCAGTCCTCCGTCCCTGCCTTTCTCCATTGTATGTGTCCACTACATGTACCCAAAGTCTGCATAATAAGAGCTTCATCAGCAAACAAGCTGCCATCTTACAGTTCATGACAGTGCTTTAACAAGGAGGCAGAAGCAACCTGCTTCAAATGTTTTTCAAATTCAGGCAAGCATCACATTCTGAAATGTAAGCTTGCTCAGACAGAGTTACATCAGTGTACATTTGTGCTTTGATGAAATTAGATTTGATGTCCTCACTTCAGGTCATTTTGTCTCCAGGGCGATTCATGATGTCAAAGCCACAGATATGGGGCTGAGCAAAGTGCGCTTCAAGGCAGAGGTGGACTTTGATGGGCGGGTGGTGACACGATCATACCTGGAGAAGCAAGACATTGAACAGATCCTCAACGTACGTGCTAAGAGACAAGGCTTCTGCTGTGATGTAGATCATCTGACGTGACTTTAGCATTTGTTTCAAGTCTGTCCATTGTTTCATAGAAGTGACTAAACTATTAGCACTCAAACAAATTCATGGTAGTTTTTGCTAAAGAATCATCTTTTTGTGAGCTCTGCATATTAATAGTGTAACTGTTTGTGTTTGGCCTGCAGGACATTCAGCAGGTGAAGACGCCAGAGGAGCTGGAGAACTTTATGTTGAAGCATGGGGAGAACATTATTGACACCTTAGGAGCAGAGGTGGACCGTCTAGAGAAAGAACTTAAGGTATCTGAGAAGACCACACTTAAGTTCTTAATTGACGTCTATGGTTCTATGAAGAGCCTTTAACAAACATGGAACCTTTCTATTGTACAAAAGGTTCTTTATAGTGAAAAAAAGATTCTTTGAAATATTTTCCACACTAAGAAACCAATGTTTTCTTAAAAACTGTTCACGGATAGGTTCTTTGGCAAACCATAAATGTGACCCTGGAGCTCAAAACCAGTCATAAGTAGCACAGGTATATTTGTAGCAATAGCCAACAATACATTGTATGGGTCAACAAAATTATCGATTTTTCTTTTATGCCAAAAATCGTTAGGATATTAAAGGGGTCATATGATGCGATTTCAAGTTTTCCTTTCTCTTTGGAGTGTTACAAGCTGATTGTGCATAGATAAGATCCCTGAAGTTGCAAAGACTAAAGTCTCAAAACCAAAGAGATATTCTTTATCAAAGTTAAGACTCTGCCACGCCCCCCTAAAACGGCTCGTTCTAACACGCCCCCACATATCTACCTCACCATGTGGAAATATTTGCATAATGCCGCCCAAATGTTCACGCAAAGAAAGAAGGCATGGTTTCAGTAACCGCAGTTAGTGTTGAAGCAACCATGTCAGGGAGACGCTGTGTGTTTCAGTGCGAAAGCAAAAGCACTTTATTTGGCCTACCAGAAGTAGATGCATTTAGGAATCTTTAAGATCACTTACAACAGAACAGCAATGCATTTTATGGACGACCGTTTCGTGAACCTAGGAGAGGAGGTAATTCTGACTTTGCTATGACAATCTGGCGCTTCTGAATCAGCTACTGTAAGTATGTTTTGTTATTAGTTTAAGTATTTGCTATTGACTGTTCAAATGCGGAGTTTTGCGCATAATGTGTGTGTGTGTGTGTGTGTGTGTGACTTAATATTAGTTTTATACATTGCATAGATCATAATTTGGTTAGATTAAATTGAAATTTTCTTTATATATAGTTTTTTTTTTTTTGCAGCTTCAGATTCCAGATTTTCATATAGTTGTATCTCAGCCAAATATTGTCCTATACTAACAATACATATATAAATGGAAAGCTTATTTATTATTATTATTATTATTATTTATCAGCTTTCAGGTGATGTATAAATCTCAATTTCAAAAAATTTACCCTTGTGGCTGGTTTTGTGGTCCAGGGTCACAAATGGTTCTTCTTTGGCAGTGCTGTGAAAAGCCCATTTTGGAGCCTTTATTTTTAAGAATGTATGATTCAGATCTCTCTTGTCTCCATCCTGACAATCCTTCAGTAAATTTGACCTACATGATGTATGGTTAGCTGTCAGAATAAGTCAGCACTACATTCAGCAGACACCACACTCATGATTGCACATAAAGGAAATCAGTTCAGCTATTTGGCCACAACTATTCAAAATAAATCAAAGTGAAACCTTCCAGTTTCACTCTCCAGGGTTTCATTTTGGGAAAGGAAAATCAGATTTGATGTTTCACAGAGAACAACACTGTAATTGCCTTTTCACACTGTATATGATGTATTGGCAGATGGCAAGAAAGTTAAATGCACATTGTTGTGTGAAAATTGTCATTTACTTTTTGCTTTTCAATTTATTTATTTACGTTTTTTTTATGCTCTGAATTTACAGAAAGGAGATTTAATTCAAAATCAAATATGAACATTTTAAGATTTTAGCATAAAAGATTTTTATACATTTTAGCATTTATTATTATCAACATTTAAAACAGTTGCTGCTGCTTAATATTTTGTGAAAACCGTGATACATTTTTTCAGGATTCTTTGGTGAAGAGAAAGTTCAAAATAACAGCACTTTTAAATACATGTAAATGTATTTACTGTCACTTTTGATCAATTTAATACTGTCTTGCAGAATAAAAGTGTCCATTTTTTTTCTTTCTTAAAAAAAACAACTTTTGGATGGTAATGTGTTGAATCGAATGTTCTTTAGAACAAGTTAGTACTTACTAGTCCTCATTTTTCCTTGACTGACTCCTGCTCTGTATCTCCGACAGCAACGTAATCCTGAGGTGCGGCATGTGGATCTGGAGATTTTATAATGTCATCATGACACATTGCAGAATGGAGATCAGGATGGAGCAGAAGGAAAACTAATCAAACCTTGAGTGACCATGAGCGCCCCATTCTCTCCAACCAGCCAATCAGCTGAGGTCTTCACATCAACCAAGCACTAACCTGAACATGGTTTCAGTAGCTGATAATATAGCAAAACCATAGCCAGTACAGAGTGGACTCCAGCTGGATAGAGACAAGGCTAATAAATGATTATTTTACAGTCATTAACTTTCAGATCTGTGGTAGTTCGTACCATCAGAGCTTTGAAATCATGTCCATGGATTGTAAAAGGACCGGTCTTACTTCATTTCACAATTTACATGCAAAGCAGCATGAACACTCATATTTTACAACAGTTCTCTCATAACACTAAAGTATTAGTAAACAGGATATAACCTAGCTTGAAGGGTAAAATGAAGAGTAATTGTAATCTACTTTTTTTAATCCAGTTTAAATTGATGTTTAAATCAGTAAAAAAAAAAATTCAGATTCCTTCATAAATTACACTTATTTAAAATATTACTAATAACAGATGAAGAAAGTGTGTTCTAAACCATATTATATCCACATTTATCAGTAATGAGAGAACTATAGAACCAAATTTAATACAACGGGTATCCATGGCCCACCTCAGACCCCTCAAGTGATGAAGACTACTCAGATCTTCACATCCTTCCTCTACTAAAAGTACTAATGTCATTATGCTGCTTTCTGGACTGTTCATCTGTTTATGCTGTAATTTAGTGTGACTGAATGAAGAAAGCAATTGTAGATGTCCAAAAACAGCTCTGTTTCTAAAGTCATTGGTGGCATTGTTGTGTTTCCAACCTAGTTTGTGAACACTAGCGCATGTGTTTTTCCATTGTAAATAATTCCTGACTGTGAAAATGCAACACTCTTATTCTGATAACTGAAAAAGAAGCATTCAGTCCATTTAAATACCCTCAGTACACATACAAACAGTATATTTTGTGGTAGATACCTGCTCTCTTCTGAAGTCTATGTATTGTTTTTGAACATTGTAAAAGTTCCCCTTAGGAACAGTCAGACATCTAATGCAGGTTGGATGAACACATTCAAGGATGGTTAGCAAGGATGAAGGGTAAAATTTAGTTATGGAAAAGGCTTTAAGACTATATATTTTAAATATGTTTATTTGACAGATTGCTATTTGGTTAGATCTTTGAGCTGTTTGGAGCTACTGAAGAAAGAGGATGAATAACTTGCAATTAATTTATTAAACCACTGGATATTTGTCTTTTTTACTGTTTTGTTTTAAGAAAAAAATCTATTTTTAAAGTAATTAATGCTTTTATTCCTCAAATGATGCATTAATCAAAAGTTACATAAAATTTGATTGTTTAGAATGTTACAAAACATTTTAATTAGTTTAAATTTAACTTTTGAATTATTATTTTGAAGTTATTTTAAATTGTTATAATATTTAAAAAATATTGTTTTACAGTATTTTTGGCCAAATAAATGCAGCCTTGGTGAGCATAAGAGACTTTTTCCAAACACATTTAAAAAATATTTTATATTCATATATTCCTTATATGACGGCTCTTATTTAACATAGCACTTCAAAAAAATGTCAATGTCATTGGCTTGTACACTTATCAGTAATCTTAGCCTTTCATGTTGATTGGCTCAGATGTATTTCTGGACATTTGAGCTGCAACCTACATATATAAAAGGGTTTCTCAAAATAATAGAACCATATAGATTTCGACCACCTAATATGCAGCATCATATAGGATGCTGTATGGTCAATGGCAGCCGTGATTTCAGTTTGCGGTGTACAGGATGCATCTACAGCAGCAGGGACATTGTACATCGGCTGTGTTTCAAATTCTAGTGAGCAGCCTACCTAGACAACATATGTGAGCGCGTTGTGAGCATTTGACTCGGTTGCGCCCTACGCGTCCCAAAACGCTGTCTAGGTAGGAAGCGCACTAGGTTTTGAGACGCCGCCGCGGAGGGACACGAGAAACGTGTGGCGCATCTGTGATGGTGATCATGAAGAAAGGTAGAGACGCCGCGGCTGAACATCGGATTTCTTCCCGCGACTGAGGGTTTGATCTCTCTGTGAAGGTGAAGTGTGTTTTTTCTTTTGATCTGATGACTAATATTTACTCGATAGATTGTAAAGAAATGGATATTGTCGTTGAGATGCGTATATATCAAAATAAATCACTGATTCTGCGAAGGTTCCATTAAATCTGTCGAGTTTATACATCCTGCGCTTTTTTAAATTCGCTTTGTTAAAAGTCAAACGAACGATAAATTTGTGTTTTGTTCACAATATATAAGATGTTTATTATCAGATGTTCTCTAAAATACCTACATTTTGTATTAGTATTGCTTTATTGCTGGAGTTTAACCGTAATGTATATCCCGAGTCTGCATGCTAGTCCGTTTGGATTGTTTATCGACTGTCGCTATTTGATATTCGTGTGAATTTTCCTATTGTTATTGATGTTTGTCATAGCAAACACACCAATAGGGGGCGCTATCGGCCTTGTCTTGTTGGCCACGTCCTCCAGCTCTATTAATGGAAGCATTACACTATATTTATCTGTTAATTTACCTTTCAATATTGTCATTTATCTAACCTTAATGTGACACTGGCTGCATCTGGAAAACCTAACGAGCTGCCTACCTAGACAGCATTATGAGGCATCTTACAATGATGTCCAAAAATGCTGCTGCTCGCTAGATTTTGAGAGGCAGCCAGTGGTGTTATGTACCCTCAGTAGACATCATGCACAGATGATTTACTCTGAGCTTTGAGCCTCTTTACAATGCTGCCTTGTAGAAGTCAAACGAACGATAAATTTGTGTTTTGTTCACAATATATAAGATGTTTATTATCAGATGTTCTCTAAAATACCTACATTTTGTATTAGTATTGCTTTATTGCTGGAGTTTAACCGTAATATATATCCCGTGTGTGTGTGTGAATGCCAGGCCTTTTGAATTGTTTATCGACTGTCGATATTTGATATTCGTGTGAATTTTCCTATTGTTATTGATGTTTGTCATAGCAAACACACCAATAGGGGGCGCTATCGGCCTTGTCTTGTTGGCCACGTCCTCCAGCTCTATTAATGGAAGCATTACACTATATTTATCTGTTAATTTACCTTTCAATATTGTCATTTATCTAACCTTAATGTGACACTGGCTGCATCTGGAAAACCTAACGAGCTGCCTACCTAGACAGCATTATGAGGCATCTTACAATGATGTCCAAAAATGCTGCTGCTCGCTAGATTTTGAGAGGCAGCCAGTGGTGTTATGTACCCTCAGTAGACATCATGCACAGATGATTTACTCTGAGCTTTGAGCCTCTTTACAATGCTGCCTTGTAGACCCAGAATCAAGCAGCATTGTACAGGGCTATGAAAGCACAGAGACGCACTTCCATATCAGCCCGGCTGTTTGTGAAGGATTTCTGTCAACCTTAAGTATATTTATGTGATGATTTTGTATCATTGCAATGCACTTGATTTACACTTCTTTTAATTATTAACAGATTTGACGCTTTGTTTAATCAACCCTGTAACTGAACTGAAAAGCGATATCATTCGTATACAGACATTAGGTCATCTTCTTTCAGTGTCAAGCAATTTAATTCCTGCAAAAGTTTGAATAATTAAATATAACGTACGTAACTACATCCCTAATGTTTATTTATTTATTTATTCTAAAATAATATTTCATTATTTTTAATTTATTATTATATATAAAAAATGACAACAATAATATTAAGTTTTATTATTATTAAAATTCTTAACTTGTTTGGGGTTTTGTCCTTTGTTTTTGTTTTGTTTTTGTTTTTTCTCTCGGTAGGTCACCTGTTTTGATGTTCACCAGATAATGCTTTGAATTTTGTCTCATGCTGGGATCATAGGGTTCAGAAAGATGATATGCCTCTCTGAACTACTAGTTAATTTACTTAATTGCTATATTTATTTACAGTGACAGACAGTGTCCATGCTGTCCGATTAGGTAATGTTGCCAGACATCTGTTGGCATGTGACAAAAAAAAGCCTCATACTGTGATAATTAATCATCATCAAATAGCAAATATGGTAAAAAAAAAAAACTACATCTGTAGACATGTAATTGAGTTTTCTAAAAAAAAAACAGTTTATTCACAAATAGCAGTTCTTTCTGTGTCTCTTGTTTTATACATGGCTTGTGGGGGTGGAGGTTTTGCTGGGAAGGGGTTTGCAGGCACTTGAAGAGGACCTTAGTGAGAACAGCTGGAGCAGGGCTGGAGGCCATTCTCGTTGCACGCTGTGCACTTCAGGGCTTTGAAAGAGTCGGTGAAGCAGTTGCGGAACACAGACATTTTGCTGCCATGGCACATAGGACACGGGACAAAGGCAAATCCCCCACACGTCTGGCATGTGTCGGGGTGCTGAACCCTCTACCATCAGACAGAGAAACAGAGAGAAGAATGTGAGTGCATTTGAATGAAATACCTGACCTGAGTGATGCTTTATTTATTTAATAAAATAAGACAAATGCAAGCTTGACTTTATCTATTATTTTGGGCTGTTCTGCACACTGGTTTTATAAATGCACAATAATATTTTGAGCTTGCTATTATTAGTACTTTTATTTTATTTTGTTTTATTTTGAAAGCGTTTGCAATTATTGATGGGACCCAATCTCACAGAAAGATGTAACTATTTTACATAGTGGCGATTTCTTATGAATGTATACAATGTCAATCATACAAAAACGAACAATTTTTAAAAAAACGTAAGCGTGAAGGTCCACTCCTAAACGATATGAGATTGCATAAATTCATAGGAGTTTGTGAAAATGTAGAATAGTTACAAATTTGCCTCAAGATTATGTTGAAATTGTTGACATTCACTATGTTTGAGAAGCCACTGTATAGCAAATTGTGCCTGCCAAATGCATAAATGTAATGTAAATAATATTAATCACTGATAAATAATGCATGTATGTCTGTGTAAAGAGCTATAATGAACTGTAATAATAAATCTTTCTTGTCACAAGTGCTAATGTTTCCTTTTACAGAATAAACTATGATAATAAACCAGATTTGACTTTACTTGAGCATCTGGAACCAAAAGGTAAAAATATATCTTTTTATGTAGACTTTTGGTTTATACTACACTTAAATAATTAACGTTCTTTATTGACATTTATAGTTCCATGAAGAAACTTTAACATCCAAGGAACATTTTCAATGCACAAAAAGTTATTTTAGTGGAAAAGGGTTCTTATTATTAAAATGTTCTTCACACTAAGAAAACAAGTTCACCCAAAATGGTTCTTCTTTGGCATTGCTGCAAAAAGCCCCTTATGAAACCTTTATTTTAGTGTAAAATATCAATATTTACCTCTATTTTGGTGAGGAGATCCTGAAGCTCCCCTAATTCATTCATTGCGAGTATTTTCTCTGCACCCTGAATGTGCAAAACATACGCAAATCATTATTAAGGGTTCAAGCATTAGCATAATGGCGTGAATTTTGAAACAGGAGCATGAGTGTGAACACTGACCCCTAGGTAGTGTCCATCAATGAAGACCACAGGCAGTGAGGGAGGTTCACCCACTCGCTTACAGCGTGTCTCCAGTTCCTTCCCATATTCATTGTCCAAAGCGATGTTCTTCTCTATGAACTTCACCCTGTGGTTCTGAAAGATCTTTCGGACCAGCTCGCATCGCTCAAATGTAGTCCTGACCACTCGAAAACTGGTGGTGTAGATTACAATTCGCCCGAACTCTAGAGTCAGTTCTGGCTGAGAGGGCCAAAGAAAGCATAGATGAGAGGGGCTCTCTCAGTTTTCAATCTAATCATCATGACACTTCTCACTTGCTTTCAAGAGTAAGCTAATTAATCTGCAACAAAACCTTTAGAAATAAGAACAAATCAGTTTAATATACTTCATTTTAAAAGTATGGTTTTAACTGTAATTGAGAAGCATAATAAATGTATTTTATGCTTTCTAAGTCTGTACAACGTTTGCAGCAGCTTTTGCAGGTAACATGAGGCAGCAGGCAGCATCTATTGATTTTGTGAGTCACTCTTCTTGAGATTGACCTTTCTTAGAAGAACAGCTCTCATGAAGTGTGAAGGTGTTTTTCTTAGCAAAGAGCAAAAATAGACTCAACCTTCACACATTTTGAAGTGAGACTAGAGGATGGACTTTCTAATGCAACTGTAGCATTTAGTTACTACATTATGGTTTGGTTGATGTGGTATTACAAGCAATTTATAAATGTTTCTAGTTGAGGAAAATTGTACTAATCCTCAAATTCCAGTAAGAACACAACTACAAGCCAAGTGCAAATACTGTAGCATTGTAAGCTAGGCATTAGCATGAGTCAGCTGTTAAGATTAAAGTATGAAGTGCCAATAAATCTGCAGTAGTGCAATTATTGTGCGCTTATTGTCAGACTAATGATTCTCACCATCCTTATCTGACATCAAATAGCAGCTCATAAAAAGTTTATATACTTGCTATATTGACATACTGAAACATGCTGACAAAGATGGTGATGGCTTTTCTTGTTAGGCCATCTGGGATAAACATGATACAGTGTTGTGGGAGCAGAAAATACAGATGTCGTTGCATTAGATAACAAATTATCAAACTAAAAGTGTCATCTCCAAAAAAATTAAATAAAAATGAACTGTTCTCAGAACTGACATTTTTGCAGCTACCCTGCTAACAGGTAATGGTGATTACATTGACAGAACTTTGACTAACGTTCTGGAACTAACATTCTTTCAGTAACGTTAATAGAACATTTGTTCCAAGTTATCTGGTCTTTTATAATGTTCTCTAAAGGTTAGCACAAAAAATTTATTTATAATCATTCATGGAACGTTTTTCTGAAATGTTTCATTTGGATGTTTGTCTAATGATATTTCAAAGTTACTACTTGTTTCAAAACATTCAAAAAACATTCATCGGTAACATTACCATAATTTTTGCAAAATAATAAAATTGTATATTCCTTTAACGTTTGTATAATCAAGATAATCTTAAAGGGTTAGTTTACCCAAAAATGAAAATTCTGTCATGAATTACTCGCCCTCATGTTGTTCCAAACCCGTAAGACCATTGTTCATCTTTGGAAAATAAATTAAGATATTTTTGAGGAAATCCGAGAACTTTCTGACCCATAGTCAGCAATGCAACTGAAATGTTCCCAGACCCAGAAACGTAAGGGCATCGTTAAAATAGTCCATGTGACATCAGTGGTTCTACTGTAATTTTACGAAGCTATGAGAATACTTTTTGTGTGCAAAGAAAAGAAAAATAACGACTTTATTCAGCAGTTCTTCTCCTCCTCGTCCCGTCCTCCGCCATTATCGAGAGTAACTTACCACGACACACGTAGGTGCTTTCCTCTGCTCGTAAACAAGGCGCAGCGAATGCGTTTTCTACGTCAGCAGCAGCACGCACATGCATCATGGTACACTGTAAAAAAAATTCCGTAAAATTTACGGTAAAAAGCCAGCAGCTGTGGTTGCCGAAATTTTACCGTAAAAAATATGGTAGCAACGTTTTAGGTTTTAACTTAAATTTACAGTTAAATACCGTAATTTCATTAACTGATATAATGTTAATATACCAACCTATTGAAGTACTGAAATCTGTTTTGTACCTTGTAATACACTGATAACCACCAAATGCAGGTGGTGATGAAAAAGTCACATGATGAACCAAAACCTATCACAAGCAGCTTTTAAATAGTAACATATATAGAAGGTGCACAGTGTCATTCACACAAACACCAAACACCATCATGGTAACACACATGAAACTGAAATAATGCAATAAACATTCATTTAACAACATTAGGTCTAACACACAAACCGTAAAATTAATGTCCAATACATGTAATGTCCAATACAGTTTTTCACCATATATAGTAGGGGAATTTACCGTTAACCATTTAACAGGTTTTTACTGTAGCATTTTTACAGTCTTTTACCATTAAATTCACGGTCATTTTTTACAGTGTACTCTCGATAATGGCGGAGAACAGGACGAGAATTGATGAATAAAGTACGCAAAGAAAAGAAATTTTTCTTTGCGCACAAAAAGTATTCTCGTAGCTTCGCAAAATTACGGTTGAACCACTGATGTCACATGGGCTATTTTAATACGTTTCTGGGCCTGAGAACATTTCAGTTGCGTTGCTCTCTATGCAGGGTCAGAAAGCTCTCGGATTTCATCAAAAACAACTTAATTTGTTTCAAAGATGAACGAAGGTCTTACGGGTGAGCAATTCATTTTGGGTGAACTAACCCTTTAAAACATTTTTTTTTTAATGACTTTTTTAAATGTTCCGAGAACATCAGAAATAATATTTTCACAACTTAATGGATACATTGACAAAACGTTTCTTTGTTTGCTGTGAAGAAACTTTGCATTTGCAAGTTTTGTGAGTGAACGCAAAAGCATCGAAATATAATTATTCTTTCTATCTCAATCTCCTTGCCCCTTATGGGCTCCGTAGTTGTTTGATAGGCGTCATGTATTACATTATTTAAATAATGACCTTATATGTAGTTTTTATTGGTCCGTCTAATCCCCTATTTACCCTCTGTTAAAAAAGATATAGAATTACATCTGATATCAGACAAAAGCAGTCAGCAACTTTTTCAATGCTCAACTACAAAGCAGAGGTCCTGAGAATACATTAAGATGATTAGCTTAGCCAAAACACTTAAAGAAATGCATCATTAATCTTTAATCGTACAGTGATCTTGCTCAGTGGGACAGCTCGTTTCTCTGGCCAAAGCCTGAGAGAAGAGAACATGTTCTGTAACCAATAGCTGCTGAGGAAAGAGGCTCCGACCCTGTTAAGGACACAAAGCTTCCGAGCAGCTGTCAATATTAAAGAAAGTCTGATTATTTTAATGTCAGTTTTCATCAGAGCTAATGTGCACTGACATCCACTGTCAAGATTTTAGATGGAAAAAACTGACCCTCAAAGACTTACCCCATTGTTTTTAGCCAAGTTATCAAAGAGTATTTGGCCAGCACTAACTTTGTGCTTGACTCCCCGAACCGTCCCATTTTTGCTGAGGATATTCACTCGTTTGGTACTCAACACTTTGTCTCTTCCTCCTGCAAACATCAGCAAGTCATCAGGCTCACTTCCACTGTCATCCAACTCCGACCCCAAGAATCCACACAGGTGTCCATTCGCCTCCCCACTGGTGGATGGAGTGCTGGCCCGGTCCGCCTCGGAGCTGCTGGTGCAGTCTGAATCCAGGGAATCCGACGGCCCTTCATCCTTAAACATCTCTTTCAAAACCCGCCCGCTGTTCCCTGAGGCCACCCGGAATCTCACCCTCTTCTGCCTCTTTCCATCCTCCGGTGTCAACAAAGCCTCCTCCATTGCATCGGCTTACATGGTCCACAAAGAAAAGGTGATTTTAATCCCTCAGTTTCATTGGTGGATGGAAATATTTAGCCCCGGTTTTGCTCCATGATTCCCCTGGAGCCCAGGCACAGCGAACAGACCCGGAAAGAGGTTGATCTGTGAGTTAACATCAGCCTCACCTCCAGTGTTCCTGTACATGTTAATAATGCACGTGGCCTTGCCATGGTTACTGAGAAAACCGACCATGAAGAAACTGATAGTCTGTTTAATAATTCATCATGCCATAGATTTTTCTTTTTTTTTTCTGTGAATAGCCTTGACTCATAAACAGAAAGTTTGTAAATTAAGTTCTCAGGTTTAAAAAAAAAGACATTTCTGTCATCATTCACTTCACATTCTCATTTTCCAAAACTGTATGAATGAAACATTATTGGCTTTCATTGTATGGACAAATAATACACAAAAAGTTCTAGGGGGTTAGTAAATAACTTTTTTTTTGTGAACTCCCCTTCAACATTTGTTTCGTTATGTTAGTTAGCTGAGACAGTATTTTACATGCATTTGAGAAGGACATTGATTTGCCCTATAGAGCAGCTAGAAGTTCTGGTAAATCATTTATGATTGCTTGTCAGTAAGATGGAGAGACTTTTTCTATTTAATTAGCTACTATGGTTCTCAATTCATCTTAGAACTTCTTAATGCACTGCAGTTTCAAGCCACTTAGAAGATTGCGCTAGGTCTGCATGCATTCACCTGCTGTGCTTGAGCATGAGGGGAAACGGAGCTCTTCTGTCATTGGCTGGTGTTTGCACCCATCTGCCCTCCAGTGGGGCTGCAGGTAGCACTGCAGCTTCTCTGTTACTACAATGGCAATGCAGTAGTGGACCAAGCCATATTGTGTGCTGGCGAGCTCAATAGGCCAATACTCACATCTTGCATCACAGTAGATGGAAATGGAATACATTATGCATTAACTGAAACAAAGCCATTTATAGGCATATTGTCACTTTCTGTTTGCACAGTCTGTACTAGAGAAAGGGTCTTTTTTAAGTGAGCATTTTTACAGAAAACAAAAATGACAGATATATTTCCCCTTTACAAAGATTTTGAAATATTTATGTTAATGTTTTGTGGGGTTTTGTGCGTGTTTGTTAGCTATGAATTCATATTTGTTAGTGTATGTTGACAAAATTAATTAATTAATTTATTTATTTTACTTGCCACAAAAGTCTGGGGTTGTTAAGATTTTTATAAGTCTCTTATTCTCACCAAGGTTGTATTTATTTTATAATACAGTAAAAATATTATTACAATTTAAAATAACTGTTTTCTATTTGAATATATTTTATAATTTAATTTATTCCTGTGATGGCAAAGCTGATTTTTCAGCATCATTACTCCAGTCTTCGGTGTCACAAGATCCTTCAGAAATCATTCTAATATGCTGATTCTAATTGAAATACTTGCAATTGAAATGCTGTCACTTTTAATTAATTTAATGCTAAATAAAAGAATTATTTAAATAAAACTCTTACTGACCCCAGCCTTTTGAACAGTAGTGTAGTGTGCAGCTGACGAAATTATAGGTGATGTAAGGCTACTTCAAAGACAAAACATCCCACCCAAACTTCCTCTTTCATCATGAAATACAACAACACAGGAAAAACTGCACTCATCAACTGTCATGGATCTTAAGTGCTGATTACAGTTTTTAATACTGTATTCTTTCTGAAGCATCACTAGCACAAAATGACAAAGTTTCATTACAAAATTTTGGCAGACAATCAAATCTCTGGCGATAGCCTCTTTTGCCCTCTCATTTATCATGCTGATCTGTCGGTTCTTCTCTCAGCCCCTCCCCTAAAGGAGTTATCTGAGTTACACACACAGTCACATCAGATGCTCTTTGCATTTCAAACAGTATCATGAGAAGAACCAAACGGTTTAACACAAAGACTCAGCTTAATCATCCAGTGAGTCACTGCCTGCATATGCATCCAGTGATTTGCTGGAGCCTGATGAATATTGGACTACATTTCACTTTATAGTTCAACAAATCATCCGTTTCCTGCCACATGCCAATATACCAGTCTATTTAATTCCGGGGCTTTTTCAATTTCCTCAAAATCACATGACCTGGAGAGCTCATCTAAAGCAGCTCTGCCAGTGATCATTTAAATCCACCCTCATAAATGCTATAATGCGTCTCTATCGTTTCCAGTGCAGGGTTTTTAAATCACACCCCTGCTTCTCTGTAAAGTCTTGCTCTCAGGCAGGTCTTTCACTAAATTATGGCACGTCAGAGCTTGTGATTGACAGTGTCAGTGATCAGTGCTCAAGGCTGATCGTGTCTATTCTTAATGTTCCTGGATCAACATCCTTGTTGGCATGAAACAACAATGCTAATGTACCAGTCAGGCTGGTTATGGTTAGCATTCAGGTTTGGCATAAGTTTATTTGATAGACTGACATAAGAACAAATACTTGACAAAATCATTTAGTTTCTAGTAAGGTGTTTTGTTTAAGATTCTTCAATTAGGGGAACTTTTCTTCTAGAATCATTTGAAAGAAAACCTGCTTTTATTTCATGTATTAATTTTTTTTTTTTAATTGTTTGAGAGTGTGGAAAAGTTCATTTTGAGTTTTTACCTTTTTTCAATTTTCCTCTACAATATCGAAGTGTTCAAATCAAGGAAGTTTCACTTTGCACATTTTCTAAAAATGTCAAATTTGTCCGTTAATTGGTAATTATGTGTACAATTTCTTAAATTCAGGTTTTATAATGATCTCTGTTTTTGGCACTGCTGTCATCACCATCAAACCAAGCATTTTAGAGAATAATAATCTCCAAGAAAGCATATTTAAGCATGATTTATAAATATTAAGTCAAGGATCATCATGAGTCATGGAGATGATTGACCCAACCATCCCATCATATAAAGAACAATGCAGATTAATATAATTCCATGTTGTTTACAGTGACTTAAGGAATTAATTTGGCTTAAATCCCATGATTAAATGGAGTATGTCAGGTGATTTATACATATGGTTCAATGAACGAAATAAATGAACTTCAGAGCTTAACAGTGAAATGCATTACCTGTGGCTCGGCACTTTATAAGAGGATTATGGAGAATCGTATGACTGATAAAGAAGTGGTAAATATGTTTTAATATTGCTTGTGTAATTGAAAAGGTGTTCTCAGGCAATTCAAAATGCGAGGGCCTCACTGATAGTCCTACTCCAGCAGGGGGCAGAGTCTGATCTTACTGATCAATGAATTGCACCAATCTACAGATCAGGTTGTTTCCACTTTTAAAAGTGCACTTTTTTTCTCATAAAACGTTTTTGCACATAAAGAAATCCATAATACTTTGTAAAAATACATTTATAATCATGTAAACTCACATAAAATGAAACATCCATTTATATAGTCTAATAAACTGATTTAGTTAATATGATGCTTGGTTGATTCAATACTACATAGCATCTAAATTATTTAAGTCAAAAATATTATTTAACTGAATCATCCTAAATACATTAATTTATACCAACAAAACTAAGTTTTTATTCGGTAGAAATAGCTCTAGTAATTTGCAGGTTACCACTTTTTTTTTGTACAGGTATTCAGTTTAAGTCAGTAATATTGTCCAGGACATAAGCAATTTGATGACTGTACATTTATTATATAAAATATATTTATTTGCTTTATTTTATCCAGACAATCTCTTTAGGGCCCATAAATTTCCCTGTTTATCTATGTTCAGACAAACAGAGTTTATGAGCAAAATAAACATGCAGGGTGTCTACGCTTTAATTAGATTCCTCAGTCAATATCTGTTAAGCCCACTGTCTTTTTTACCCATGCTTTAGTATCCCAGAATCCTCAGCTATTGTTAGTAGATCCATCAATTCTAAGGGGCCTTTCTGATCGTATCGGTTGATAGGCTGCCAGCGCTGCGCAGGACAGATGGTGCCATCCAACTGTTGACTGACAGGTGTTGCTGTTGATACTCTTCATGACCCTTTCTGGCATGTCTTTAGTCTTTAGTCTGAAGCACAACCTTTTATTTTATTTAGTCCAGTCAATTTTGAACTCATATTGATGTCACTGTTCAAACCTATATTCTCATTCTCAGCACAAAATAATCAACATGCTATTTATAAACATGGGCACTGTTGAATATTTCATGGTCCCAACCACATGCAGTGAGTCTAATCTGTCAATAAGCGTAGATCACACTCATAGCCTGCAGTGAGTGCAGATCTTGTGTGGCCTGAGTGTTCTGATGGAGCGGCCGGCTCATTTATCACAGAGATGCCCTCTGACCACTGCTATGAGCACAGAAGATACTAGGCCCTCTTTAGTGGAGAGTGAGATGTCACTCTATGGATTTATAGCAAGAAGCATTGAAATTTTGTGCATGCAGGAGATATGAATGAGTCATGATGTTTTGATTCATTGATCAGTATTTTTTACTTTTTTTAATTGAATTACAAGTATATAAAAATATGACCACCTATACAGTATATATAGTTATAACAATACATAAAAAAAAAAGAACAAGCAGTAATGAAAGAATTCAGGTTTTATAATGATCTCTGTTTTTGGCACTGCTGTCATCACCATCAAACCAAGCATTTTAGAGAATAATAATCTCCAAGAAAGCATATTTAAGCATGATTTATAAATATTAAGTCAAGGATCATCATGAGTCATGGAGATGATTGACCCAACCATCCCATCATATAAAGAACAATGCAGATTAATATAATTCCATGTTGTTTACAGTGACTTAAGGAATTAATTTGGCTTAAATCCCATGATTAAATGGAGTATGTCAGGTGATTTATACATATGGTTCAATGAACGAAATAAATGAACTTCAGAGCTTAACAGTGAAATGCATTACCTGTGGCTCGGCACTTTATAAGAGGATTATGGAGAATCGTATGACTGATAAAGAAGTGGTAAATATGTTTTAATATTGCTTGTGTAATTGAAAAGGTGTTCT